AACATGAGGTGCCAATGTTCTCAACTGTTCACAGAGTAAGATTTGTTCTTTAAACATTAGGTAACAACGTTCTCAGCTGTTCACAGTGTAATATTTGTTGTCTAAACATGAGGTGCCAATGTTCTCAGCTGTTCACGAAGTAAGATTTCTTCTTTAAACATTAGGTAACAACGTTCTCAGCTGTTCACAGTGTAATATTTGTTGTCTAAACATGAGGTACCAATGTTCTCAACTGTTCACGGAGTAAGATTTGTTCTCTAAACATTAGGTAACAACGTTCTCAGCTGTTCACAGTGGAAGATTTGTTGTCTGAATATTAGGTAAAAGACTTCTGAGTTCTTCAAAGTAAGATTATTGTCCAATCATTACGTAACAATATTCATTAGGTAATAACATTTTCGGCTGTTCAGAGTGTTGGAGTTACTGTTTAATCATTAGGTAAGAAAGTTTTCAGTTACTCAGAGTATGAAGTATCGTCTTAACACTAGGTAACATTACTTTCAGTTGTTTCAGAGTGTAAGATTTATTGTTTATGTCATATCTGAAAATTTAAATAAATGTAAAACTTACTTTTTTTATCGAAACTAAGCATGAGGGTTATACTTAACCAAATATGGTGATATTTCTTAACCCGAATAAATTTGTATACCTTTTTGTCAAACCACTGCACGAAAGTATTGGTATTTCGGTTGACAGGGAAGCAATGGATGAGTAGTTGTATCCAGGGAACACCTGAATACAAATATATACAGGTAGAAGGTGGTTAACTAGCTTATCATGCATAAAACAACACAGAAACACCTAATCTGTCAAAACCAAATAACTCGTACAAAGAACAATCAGAAAAAAGTAAAAACATCGGAGACTTTTAGTACAAACTTATATTTTTAAAATTGAATTATCCAGTTATAGTAACTTCAAGTTACTTTTAAGGGTAATTTAAATTTTGTGCAATATGAGATTTTATGAACAATCGTCTATTAAAGTAGGAGTTATCCTTTCTTCAAAATCTCAAAAGGCATCGAATGCATACTTAATTATATAATAATTAATTATTAATTATAATACATTATAATAATTATAATATTATAATTATATTGTATTATAATTATTAATTATAATACATGTGCAACAGATTTACAGAAAACTATCATTCTGTTATTATCCAAACTCAGAAAGTGAGTTTCTTGCACGTGCTGCAAAAACTTACGAAATGTTCATAAATTTCATCTGCAATTATCGGGACAAGTTTCCTGGCAGCGACATCTAGGATTGCTTGCAAATGGTTTCTGGAGAACACCGACCCACAGGGATTAGAAGGGTTGTTGACAATGATTGCAGCTGTACTATCGTCAATCTGGTTTTCTAAATCTGCTAAATCTACCTCCCACTTCTGTTCGGGCTAGAAAAGACAAGGGAACGGTATTTTTTTAAAAAAAAAAGATATATTACTCTATAATATATACGGTATTGAGTTTTCTAAACTTAACAAACCTTTGTTACGCAGTAAGTCACAGCTGCGCGTCCCGTTACCTCAAACTCACTCTCCGCAATTTGGGGCTACGAGTGTGTTATAAGAGTGATAGTCAAGTTTCACCGTGCTATTAGAGTAGCTCAATAGTTGACGATGGGTGCTGTTGACTAGCTTCCTTCCCTCTTGTCTATCAGTTCAAAATTATGGACGGCTAGTGAACTGTAACTTTTTTATTTTTCCGATTTTGTTAAACCCAGATTCCATTTTAGTCTACGCGTATCGGCAGGGTGTAGCCTAATGATTTAGAGTGCTCCTTTGTAAATCTGGGGGCCAATAGCTAGCGTACTTTGGGGCATGGGTGCATTACAAGAGAGATAGGCAACTCTTATTATTCCATTAGAGAAGTCCAAAAGTTTGCAATTGGTGCTGCCTTCTATGAGTTCAAAGGTATAGATGACAAGTGCAGATAGCCCTTGTGTAGCTTTGCGAGGATATCCGAAGCTAATAAACACACCTAGCTGAAAGTTCGCTACTTCGGCATCAGCAAACCTATATTCGGTTCGATACAGTTACTCAGTTGTCAGGTGACGAATTTTGTCTATCACCTAAACAACTTCAATTGTTGTTTTTTGCGATAGTTTTTAATACAGAACGTCATACCTACTCACGAAAACAAGCGTAATTTCTGTTAGCACAGATAAGGGTAAAGCTTGTTTGTTTGTTTGTTTTAGAGCCGCGCCACATTGAGCAATCTGCTGTGTCCATCTCGGGGAATCGAACCCCGGATTGTAGCGTTATAAGTCTGAAACTAACCGCTGTCCCACTGGGAGAATATGGTTAAAGATTCGAATATATTTGACTTTAAAATAAATTCAGTAATATAAACTTTTACAAATACAGTAGTTGTTGTTGTTGTTGTTTTCATTTGAATAGTATTGCATTAGAAACAATAAAACTGGTGAATAGTGGTTTCATAATAAAAAATAAGTGAATTATAAAAATAAAATTTTGCTGTTTCGCATAAAATAGTGTAATAATAAATACCAGCAGTATAAACACAGTCAACGTTGGAATACACCGTACAGATTGAATTTAAGCTCATTATCGACGCATTATAAAATATTATACTATTTCAAACGTCAGTGTTTATTTATTTATTTTTTGTAGTTTAAAGAATATTAAAAACCCTACCACAAGATTGTAATATTTAATCTCTATCCCTGCTCCTTCAGCCAGTGTACGGTAAAGTGGGAAGCCAGGCCTTGGAACGAGGATATTTTGACCCGTATTGCCCAACGCGGTGATGCACATGTCCAATGCTTGAGAACAACCACTGGTTAAAATCACATCCTAGAAAAAGAAAAAGATAGAGAGAAAAAAAAAGATAAATTCAAACATATATATCGTATTCTACTTCTTACATTGAATAAAGCACTACAAGGAAACAGTGAAATCGTAATTAAATCTACGGAAAGTAAACAACCAAGCGCTCAAAATACGAGCTAAAATATAAATAATTATTAGGTTTTTGACTACTTGGCATTCTGATATACTTTAAGTTGATAAAGACAGTACCGATGTTGCCAGAAAATCGTTTGGCCTATCCAATGATGTAAGCTTAATGTACAACTTTTATAAACTTTTACTTGACAGTTTGATTTTGTATTGTTATACATATATTTTTTCAGTTCTTCAGCCGCGCATAACGTACCATTAATACGTATACAACGCATGAATAAATTATATATTAGGTTCAGTGCCCTATGTTCTAAGAGAGCCCAGAAAAAATTATATCTGTGTTCTTTTCTCACATTCTTACATGAGGTATTTATTTTACGCCCTTCGCCAAAAGACATATTTTTAATCGAGTTTTACATTTTAACTACGTTTAGCAAAAGTCAGTTTGTGAACATTTTTAAAATTATATTTTTATAGTTTTACGTTTTCGATATTGAAACTAAGTGTACTCGTTTTGATTACATTTAAAGGTTTTCTAAAATTATATACTCTTTTAGGGTAAAAATATCAATTAAAACCCCCTATTTGAGAACTCGAGAACCTGCGTACCTAGCGCGAAGCATGGTCACGTGATAGACTACATATAGTGTTTTTGACAGGCTTCATCATATTGATTTTTACGTAAAGAATTTCTGTTGTGAAAGAGATCGTTGATAAAGTATGTGGTAGGTTTGAGTCGATGGGGGCCCTTTTTTTTGGGCTCAAGAACCCATACTTGGTTAATCCGGTACTGATTTAAAGTGTTATTAAGACAGGGAAAAGTAAGCTCCGTCATTTAAAAGAGGCTTTATGAGTAGTTCTTCAAGACAAGCTTTTCAAAGTTCAAGTTACATTCACACGTTATAATGCATTTTTGGCGGGAAATCAAGTTTAGTTTTACACATCATTTTTAGCTTACTAGTCACAAATAGAAGAAACCTACGAGGAGGATTTATTCCCGAAGTTTATGGCCTTCGAGATTGAATTTTGTAGACGTGTTCTTCAAGCTGTAGAAACATAACTTTATAAATATATCCAATTTATTTTAGATCATCACAATTTCGTCATTTTCAATGCATAACCAGTTTATGATAAATAGATAATTATTATTTTCATTTAGCCATTTGAAATCGACAAGTTCGTAATATTTTATAAATTAACAAAGCGCCTAGTGGTATGATATTCTTTTACTTAGACTAAAAAGAAACACGGAATTATGAGACCTCTGCGTATCCAAAATACAGCTGGGCTCATGCAATACACAAAACGTTACTACCAGTATTTCTTACTTTATTGTTATTTATTTTTACTGTTTAATGTCTAGTATTGTTTCAGCGATCTCTAAATAATTACCTGTTCTGTTTTGGAATAATCTAAACAATTACTTGTCCTGTTTTGGATCAATCTAAACAATTACCTGTCCTGTTTTGGATCAATCTAAACAATTATCTGTCCTGTTTTGGGTCAATCTAAAGAATTACCTGTCCTGTTTTGGATCAATTCTCGAAAATTGGTCTTCACCCCCACCCCTAAGATGAGGTAAACGGTCAATATATAGTATAGAGATGGTTACCGAGGTACAGAATATTCAGTTATTGCTAATCTTTGGTTCAGTTTAGAACCTTTAATTCATAATCTTTCAATACTGCCACAGATCAGTGTCCTAGATGAAGCAGACTGGAAATTTCAGACGTCGTGCGTGAACTAAACATTTCTTTCAGTCTTCTGAAAACACAAAAATAATTATGGGAACTGTGTTCTTAAAATACAGCTGGGCTCAGGTTCTATGGTAAAACCTCACGTAGCAGTGTTATATAAAATACAGCTGGGCTCAGGTTCTATGGTAAAAGCTTATGTATCAGTGTTATATAAAATACAGCTGGGCTCAGGTTCTATGGTAAAACCTTACGTATCAGTTTTATATAAAATACAGCTGGGCTCAGGTTCTATGATAAAACCTTACGTAGCAGTGTTATATAAAATACAGCTGGGTTCAGGTTCTATGGTAAAACCTTACGTAGCAGTGTTATATAAAATACAGCTGGGCTCAGGTTCTATGGTAAAACCTTACGTAGCAGTGTTATATAAAATACAGCTGGGTTCAGGTTCTATGGTAAAACCTTACGTAGCAGTGTTATATAAAATACAGCTGGG